GCAGCAGTCTTTTGAGAACTTGTGCAAGACAATCAAGAAAATCCTTGGAGACACGGTGGAGAAAGTAGTGATATCTGATCGGCTTGTGGACTCTCCTTGCTGTTTGGTTACAGGTGAATATGGATATGGAGTGCTAACATGGAAAGGATCGTGAAAGCTCAAGCTTTGACCCGTGTCTAGCAAGAAGATTATGGAGACCAACTGAGACAATCCAATCATGGGGGAACTGAGAAAGAGAGCCGATGTGGAAAAGAATGACAAATCAGTAAAGGACTTGGTGCTTTTGCTCTATGAGACAGCCCTGTTGACTTCTGGGTTCAGTCTCGACGATCCTAACACATTTTCAGCAAGGATTCACAGGATGCTGAAGTTGGGTCTGAGCATTGATGAAGACGAGACCGGCGGAGAGGACGCGCAAATGCCAGCATTGGAGGAAGAAGCAAAAGAGGAGAGCAAGACGGAAGAAGTTGACTAAAGTATAACAGCCACTGGCATCAGACAATAAGCATGATCCAGTAGTAATGTCTGCGTCTTTTTAGTGAGTTTCTGTTTCGGTTTCCCTTTGGATTGTGGTTCTGTTGCGTTTTGGGTTCAGGTTTCCCTGTTTTGCTTTCTTTTCTTGTTTAGAGTTGTAGCAAGCTTGCTTTCTTCTATGTAAGCACTTTGCAATCCAAGTTCTGCATGTGTTAATTAGCATCATCAGTGGTAAGAAACCATCAACCGCAGACAGTATACTGTATCTTGAGGAGCTAGCTCAGCAAGTCAAAATTACTCAATTTTCAGACCTTTTATTTTTTGGCCAGATTTTTAGGCAGAAACACTGTCTGGAGCAAGAACGAATTCTTCCATAATCTTTTCACGGTAAAATTTCCTTATCGATTCCAAAATGTCAACAGAGTTTAATACTTCAGCATACTCTATTTAATTAATTGAGTTTGTTGACAGAAAGTTTTGAAGACCAGAAAAATTTAGAGTTAATATTTTTCATAGCTTTTGTTTAATTTTTTAAAGGATGCAAATTTGAAAAAACAAATCTAGCCAAATTGTTTATATTGACTTTTAAAATTCAGAAAGGGCCATTTATGATGATGCCCTGCCTTAAATTAGGCCAGGAAGTTTTAGTGTGTAGTTTCTTAAAAAAAAAAAAAAATATTATCAGCATAGATTCATTAATTTCTTCATCATTGTGGCCTTTTTTTAGGTAGACTGAATTCTGTAAGTAAACAAGCTGTTATGAATTAAATTCTTTGACAAATATAAAATAGTATTTAAGCTTTAATATATATGTGAAAATGTAAAAGTATATAGAACATGGAATCTACAATAATTTAAAATTAAATCAGTTCGAAATCATAATTAATTTAATTTCCAAACAAGTCAAGGTTCATTTGAGTAGATGGTATTCTAAGTAATTATATCTAAATCGGTTAATAATTTCTTGTGTTCATACAATTCTAGAAACAAGGTGTGCTCATGCTTCATGCCACTAAAAAATTATATTTATTCGTAAAAAAAAAAATCATAAAATTCACTAAGTATCATAGAAATCATCATGACGAAACTACCACAGGTCATTAAAATTATTTATTAGTTCACCAAGCAATATATAAATCATGAAGATTTACTATATTCAAATCGAGCAAGCGGAATTTAAAGACTAAGAGAAAATATTACATTCAAGTAAAAGTATTGAATAAAAAAACAAATAATAAAGAAATAAAGTTAAATAAGCGTGAGGCATTAAAGACTAAAAAAAATTAAATAATTGTGTAAAAAATAAAACATAAATTGTAAGTAAATTACAAAGTAAATAAATTGCGAAAATGATAAATTGCAAGAAAGTTCGAGAGAAATTTGTATTTGTATTAGGACATGCCGAAGAATTAAAATGGAAAAAGCATTTTTAGAAAATTGAATATTGTCAACTAGATATTCCATTGGCAAGCTACACAAATTTTGTCAAAAATTATATAAGAACAATAAAAAAATTTAATCACAAAAATTACTTGATTAATCAAAGATTTTATTAAAAAATATATTTTCAACAGAATCATTGATGAAATATTTGGTCTTTTATTAAAATCTTTTATTCATATTCCATCAATTTTTTTTTTTGACAAAATCTTTGATAAAATATCTTAAGAGATAAAAACATTCCATCAAAAATTTCATAAAAAATATAATTCAATGAATCTCTAATGTAATAGAAAATAATACATAAAAAACATATATGAATGTAAGAGATTTTGTCTAAACAAATATCTAAGAATTTGTTTTATTATTATATTTTTCCACACTCATTGGAATAATATGGACCACACCTATTTATATATATTTACAACCACTTTTAACACACCTCTCACTTTAATGGAAATAAATATGCAAAACAATATTCCACTAAAGAATTTAAAAGATATCTCCAACATGCATAAAATATATCTGACAAAGTAGCTATATGCTAACCAGATATATACTTGATAAAATTGAAGAACTTTGTTTTCAACATTCTTAAAATTACAACAAAATCTCATGTATAATGCAGTTGGATCGCAGAAAATATAGTCGAAGTGGGGGGATATGGAGAAAAACTCATAGCTTGCATGGTCATCATTTTGATCTCTTACACTTGTTTTCAAATGTAAAAAAGCTAAGCAAGTCATCATTTTTCTCCTACATCTCAATCATTTGACTCTGATCTCTCACAGCCACAATTTGATCATAATGCTCATTGAAATTCTAGAGCTAGAGGATGGTGTACCTAATATAAATGAACTATGTCCGCTCCTCATAGAAGAAAAGGAGGCCATAGACAACTCATAAACATGGTTCCTCTCAAATCTATTAGAAACAACAGCTAGTCAAGTGCTGGAATCATCAGGCAAATAGGTTCATTCTATGTTTTTCTACCATCAAAGTTTTGTAATTATCCAAAAAGAATTATAGTACTTTTTGTTCACTTCCACAAAATAATAATAGTACATAAAATATAACTTAGAATACTCGCGACAAAAACCTGAGGTATTCCATCACACAACTTCATATCTTCTTTTTTTTCTCTCTTGATCTACTACTTTTATGAGAATATCTCAAAAAGTTTCATAGAAATAGATGATAAAACCAACACTATTTTTCAACAATAGATGAACTCAAAACAACAAATACTACTAGCCTTGTCACCAAAAACCAGCAAAACCACCACCGCTAGCTATTATTGTGCAACGAGAACCACTTGGTATTAGATGTCACACTTGTATAGCATTGTAGCAATTATTTTTCTGATCAAAATAGTCGAGAATATATGAAAAAGATAAGAAATTTTTATTATTTATCAGTAAAAAAATAAAAATCATTACTTGATATTAATATTTTTTAGAACAATGACCAATGACAGTAAACAGAATTATAATATAAGATATAAGTTTAAATTAATTATATAAAAGTAACACATAAAGTGTAATATATAAAAAGTAGGTGTGAAAAATATTGGTGCATTCAAACTATATAATGTTTTTAATAATTGACCCTATTTTATTTTATTTTACATGTGGCTTGTGTGTTTATAGTGTTAATTTAATTGCTTCAGGAAGAGGAAAAGGTCCCAGTATAACAAAGACACTTATAGGGATTATGGGAAGGGTGGGATGAGATGAGACTCTTTATGCTTTCATATGACAAAAGTCAGCTTAAAAAACAACATACCAACTCAAACTCTCTAAAGAAAAAGAAGCTAGTGAATAAGAGATATTAAAAATCTAAAACAATAATATATTTCAATTAAAAATAATAAAATCATAGTCATTAAAATATTTAAAATTAAAGGTGTACTAGTACTAGGTTAGCATGATCTATCATGTTATATCAAACATGACTTGAGCTCCTGTTCCTGAAATAAGTGACACTTAATTAGAAATTAATTATGAAGATTCTTAATTGGTTCTGCAAGCCAAACCCCAACAAAAAAGACTCAGGATTTCTCATCGGGCTAGTGATGCTAGCATTAATTTAGTAAGATGCTTTCATTGAAGTGCCTTAATTTAGTAAGAACTGTTTTTTTTTTTTTTGAAGAAAAAGTTGCTAGTTGCTAGTTGCAGAAATGACTCAAAGCATTTAATTGCTACTACCAAAGATCATTAGTAAAAGTGCCCCCTGGGATATGATTATCAATGTTGTTGTTGCATTATTGTTACATAATCATCACTGTTAAGAGATGTTGCAATTTTGTCACACTGATTAAACAGGCTGAACATGGGAGAAAGTGATGATGAAAAGACATCGAAGATTGAGAAGCATGATCCTACCATGTAAATTAATGAGCCATGCAACAGAAAACATGACATAGAGCAGGTATATGTAGAAGGGCCGCAACAGTTGGAGAGTGCATGATAACGTTTTTCCCTTTAACACAAGGAGTTTATATCAGGACAACCATGGTTATAATGAAAGTTATCATTTGACAGAGGACAAACAGGACGACGTCATCATTAGCTTCATAAACATCAACAGCACTACGCTCCTTTACGTACTATGTATGTGTAGAAAGATGTCCGATCAAACGGTGTCTACGTATAATCGATTTAGTTAATGGTTTTCATGTATAAAACATGTCACTTGATCATCTACCATGCACCATGAATCAAGCAAAACATAATTAATTAATTATATTCACGATGTTAGTGCTTAATCAATGCAGATCCGTTAGAGATATCCTTATAAGCTCAATCCTAAGCCATCAGCTCGATGCAGGATGAGATGATATCCTTAATCATAAATTCCTTTAAACACAAGTTATTATATCCCAGATTATTTTTACTAGCCATTCCCCTTATATTAAATTTCTTTTCAGTATCTTAATTTTGAATTAAGGCGCCACCAAAGAAGAAGGTATTTTTCACTGCCATTAATTATACTCAATTAATTCTTGGATTAGAAAGACCGCCATGATCTTGGTTGGATAGCTTACCTCGATAGTATCGTCAAGATTTAAAAAAAAACACACTCAACATTCAATGATCGATACCATAATCATTTCTTAAATTACATTTCAGCATGTGGTATGCCCTCCTTTAACTTTTTTTTTTCTTTTTTCAATGTATCAGCTCGTCATAAGAAAGATATACACGAAGTCCATTAGAACTGTTATTCAAAATTCTTGAAAAAGTGAAAGAAAAAAAAAACCACTCGTTGACATCACCATAATCATGATCAAACTCTGCTGGGGTTTGTTGTGTTGCCTTTATTCTTTCCTCTGCAAACGCCAAGAAAACAAGATTACATGCATCCTTATGCAGTTATCTGTTTTCATTGCCTCAATTCTCACAATCTCACCTGTGGGAGTTAAAAGGCGGGGTAGAAATGAAAGAAAAGAAATCAACAAGCTGTCTTCAAAAGCCTGAAGCCCTGGACCATTCTGAAAGCTCTATAAAAAGATGAAGAGGGAAGAGAAATGAGAGGCCGTTTTCACCATTATAAATATCTTATAGAGATGAAGGGAAAGAAGAGAGTGTAGCAGCTCCCATACTTGATGAAGTTGGTACAATTTCTTCTCCACCAAGTGGTCCTTCAACATTATCCCAAAAAAGAAAGTTTGAGCACTGTTGGGATTCCACCCATTCAATATTCAACTCTTGTCTTTGTAAGCATTCCAATGATATCTCTCCTTCGTCATTCATGCTACAGGATTGCATCTCAATAGGCACCATGTTCTCCATGTTGTCAATCAATGGAGGCAGGTAATTTGTATCCATTCCAATACTAAATGTTGCTTGGGGTGGCAGTACTGCTTGAACATGATGGTGCTGGCTTGAATTCCAAGTTTCAGTGTTTAAGCTTGCCGAATCATGAAAAAGTTCCCCACGTACACTACTATCCACAATTCCATCAAGTGAGGCAGTACTGGTGTCAAACATAAATAAGGGAGCTGAAGACGAAAATAGGGTTTCTTGAACTTGTGGCCTTGTCAAATCTTGATGACCTAAATCTAGTTGGTTTGAGGTATAATTTATATTTGAATGATCAGTACTGGTAGTTGCATTGGTTATTGTTGCAGTTGCTGAAGGCTTTCGTATCTTCTTTTTAATCCAAGAATTCCAATAGTTCTTAATCTCATTGTCTGTTCTTCCAGGCAAGTGACTTGCAATATGAGCCCATCTACAATTGATCAACCATGCATATAAGAAAACTTACCACAAAACTAGCTAGTGACTAATCATAGATTACAAAACAACAGACAAAGCAATTAATCAATTAGTTAACTTGTCCGGATTTAGAGAAGCAAGGAATTTGTAGCAAAAGTACTAACATGATTTAATAAAATATCTTACAGAAAGAGAAGGGGAAAAAACAACGTTACGGTGTTGAGTTAGTGCTGTGCATAGCATAGATAGGCATTAATTTCCAACTGAAAACCTATGTGACAACTTCTGACATTGCTTTCTCAACGTCTCCCGTAATGCAGTTGATAGGTGCTTATAGAAATACTTAAACATTAATTAATTATGTGGTTGCTTATAGCTAGCTTATTTTTTGTATATATATATATATATATAGAAACGCATCTCAAAACTTACTTTTCAAGTTTCCATAAAAAACAGAATAAAGAATGAATTTCCCCCATAAGCTCCCCGAGAGAGAGAGAGAGAGCGAGAGGAAGTCTCAAGATTATTTTAGAGCACTTGTCCTATTCTTTTTTGAAAAACCGTAAGAAGTAAGAACTTGTATACTTGATTGCAAGTGCATTCAATGCGGCCCAGCTTAAAATTAGTAATCTCTGTGTATATGTAGTACCAAACTTGTAATTGCAAATGCCAGTTAATTTTATGTTGTTTATAGTACAGACCTGTTTCCAACAACACCATGAAGGCTAATTATCAACTTCTCCTCCTCTGGAGTAAATCTTCCTCTTCTTATGTCAGGCCTCAAGTAATTAATCCATCTCAAACGACAACTCTTGCCACATCTTTGAAGCCCTAAAATGTTCAACCAAAAAAGAGAGAAATCATTCACTAATAATACCTATATCAAACAAGAAATTATACAGAGCTTAATTACCGGGGGAAACTAAACAAAGAAGAAGGACAAGAAACAAGTGGTAGAAAAGAGGAATAGAGGGGCAAGTACCAGCTTTCTCAGGAACCTCACTCCAACATCCATAGCCATGTGTAGTGATATATCTGATGAGCTTTTCATCTTCTTCAGGTGACCAAAGTCCTCTCTTAACCTTTTGCTGGTTGCAGCAAGAATGGTGACCCATATTATGATATATCTGATCTTATTGATCCCTTCTTCCTCTTTTGTTTCTTTGAGTTTGGTTTCTTTGATTAGAGAGTTAGAGCGGTAGGTTATTTCTGGGGCTAGGCAAGAACTATTGGCCACTCTCTTCCCCATTTAAAAGTAACACGAGCACAAAGGGAGCCGAAATGGATCGAAAAAAAGATGGGGTCCATGCAAAGGGACCCAGATATTCATCTAACCTTAAAATGACATTTCATCAGCTATTATTTCTCATTCTCTCAAGGTTGGGGTCTGTGTTTTACTATATTCTACGTAGAGTTAAGATTGTATTACGTAACCAAAATTCACGTATCCTAAAAGCACTGCAGGTTGTTTCACAGACCTAGCCATTTCTTTCTTTCTTTCTCTCTCAAGGAAAGATTTTGTAATATCCCCTTGGCATTGTCCAGTCATCTAATCCCCAATTATAGTGTGACACATTAGGAGAATGATCAAGAGATACATGAACCTTAGGAGAAACCATTTAAACGTTAAGTGAGCTCTGTAATTTTTTATTTTTTATTTTTTTTCACGGAGTGTGATCGATGATGATGAATGATATGTAAGTTGCAAGTAGAGGGGTAGGTTTTTTCTCTTCAAGTTGATGATCGTCTGCGGCAAAACCCACACAAAACTTGCCCAATTAATGCCGCACAAATAACGGCCGCAAACTAATGATTACAACTCACAAGTAGGAGTAATTGATTTATTCGATCGTCCTTTCGAGTTCTACTTTATATATGGTATAATGGAAGTATTGATTTTTTTTTTCTTCTTACAAGTTTTAACCCATGAATTTCACTTCTTGCTTCTACTGTTGTGAGAAACAAAATGATACTTAGTATTTGTTCTGGAGACTTATGGAATATATATCTATATATATATATATATAATATCTCAATTAGTATAAATCGATTAATTAATTAATGTAGCACCAATCAACGTATATCTTGTCAATTATACATATTCTCTTACCATATATATATACACACGTATAATCCAGCAAGGACTGTTTATAGTTAAACTAGCAACACAAATCTTTGCCTTTCTTCTCTTATGGTCTTATTTATCTACCATTAAGTAATAATCTTGATATTTCATAAATATAAGAACTAGAATATTCTTTTATTTTTTCTAATTAATTAGAAGTTCGGCCTTACTTCACCGAAGATAACTACATGCTGTATCTACCATTAAGTAATAATCTTGATACTTCATAAATATAAGAACTAGAATATTGTTTTATTTTTTCTAATTAATTAGAAGTTCTGCCTTACTTCACCGAAGATAACTACATGCTGGGAACTGTGTTATCCTCTAATTTGACGTAAAGTTGGGAGCCATTCATAAATTTAATGATGAATCCTATGATTATATAAAAAAATAAATACAATTTCAAGAGTGCCCAATAATTTTATTGTATTTTATTTTTTAACATGAAGACTAGTGTTAAAGAGCTAGGCCTAAGATTTTGCCAATACCTAGACAGAATGAGAAAACGTTACTCGTTCCATGAGATTACTTGCAATCACACTTATTGTTAAACATTAAATTTTAATTGTCTTCAATGCCAAACAAACTTATATGTCCTTAAAATTTTATTATATTCACGCCAATTAATCAAGTTCACTGATGCAATGATTGGATTAGGAATAGCTTCATTTGGTGAATATGTACAAGCACTTTTTAAATTATTAGTGATTTAAATAAAGATTTGTTTTTCTTCTTCTCCAGATTGACACATTTTATATTTATTTTTTTTATAGTCATACATGCATGATCTATGATTGAGGGCTCCTCTATCAGGTTTCACCCAATATTAGTGACGACACCATCACCAAATAAAATGTTTTGTCAATGGGAGTTTATTTATACCTATCTTGAACTCAATTATTGTTGAACTTGGATGTTTTAAGACTTCAGATTTTTAAATTAAGAAAAAAACTAAAAAAAAAAAGAAGTTTCCATTTCCAAGGATCAATAATTCAAGAAAGACTTTTTTAGAAAGCCCAATAACCGTTAATGCTCAAAATTATTCGATACCATTATGTTAACAGAAGAAAACATTATAACTACATGGCCCGTTCTTGATTAGTTAAGGGACATCCAGAGAGACCTCATGAAAATGAAATCAATTAATATTGATTTTCCTCAATACTTACTTATATTTATTCGTAGTTTAGTAAAGAGCTCATCGATCCCTAATATTAATTCTTCAATCATCTTGATAAATATTGGTGACGGTTGCATCACGTAACGCATGAATTGAAATCATATTCCTATGAAAATAGCATTATTTGATCAGTTCCTCGCGCCTACAAGCTGTTTTCTTTTTTCCTTTTAAATAACAAGATAAAAGAAAGACATTGAGAAGGACTTTTGATTTTATCGTAATGCAGTGAGTCTAATTAATACACTTAAAGCAGTTTGACTAAATTTTGTCCCCTTGCTTAATTATCAAGAAATTATGTGCTGATTGTGTGGGAATAACGTCTGTACGTAACATGGTTAACATCACTAAATCCAAATGTTGTCGATCCACAACAACTCGATCCTTGATAAGACTTCAGCTCGCGAGCAGATTCTACATTTCTTAATATTTAATCGTAATTGATATTATCTACTTAATTTGCTCATTAACCGTATAATTGAGTTAAGTTTGTGCAATTTTATTTTTCGCTAAGATAGTGTGGCAAGTTATTCATGATTTTCGTTTAAGAATGAAATTATACAAGCAGCCTGTTCGTTAAACAAATACATCGGTCCTGGATGAAGAAATTGGTTCGTTGAGGAAAAACAAATAAATTAGACGGGCACCGTTAATGGGGCCAAATCGATCTTGATTTAGCAGCTAGCAGTAAAAAAATAGGTGGATAGATCATAATTATTAGAAGGGTTCATCACTATTCAGACCAATTAAATAATAATTTTGGCTCAATTGGCGAAACTCATGCAAAGTTTTCTCAAACAAGCGCACGAGGATTCTTATTTATTATGGAGTTTTGAGTGCTTTATCACTGTCACGCACACTTGTGTATACTGGAAATTCAGTGAATATCACTGAATTTGTTCTTTCAAAAACATCATTTCCAGAATTGATATGGTAATTAAATCACTCAAATTCATGATCGAATTATCAAGGCTCCAGAAGCATATGTGTTCCTTTTAAATTCACCCTTTTGCTGGGCTAATAAATCATTGAGATTGCTTGATTGTGAAATATAGCTCCAGAGATGCGAGTGATTTTCTTCTTCGATCATTCCACGATACCCCATATATATATTGTCCGTACGTACGCACATGCCAAGATACACTTGAAGTACTGAATATTCTAATCCACTACAGTGCAGCGTATTAAATAAACAAGGTCTTTGTCTAATGACATAAAGTTCACAGATTAGTTAGAAACATAAACAGAAATTGGTATATATCTTCGAGTATGGTGTTTTAGGCGTCTGTACTCTACGTAGATGGATCAAAAGAAATGTAGAGAGAGAGTTTGTCGAGAATGAAAGCGAGGGCAATAGTATTCTGTTGATTGATGCAAATCATCCACCATATTTGATGTGAAGATAAGAATGTGACTTTTGCTTGGATGGATCGCAAGCTAAAACTTTGAAAGTAATATACAAATCATTTTTAAAAGAGACTCATTAGGAGGATATTGAAAAGGGGAAATGATTATACTTAGCTTTAAGGAGGAGCAATGGAGAGGCACAGGGCCTACCACTGTGGAATTTCAAGTGCCCATTAGAGAGAAATTTTTTGGGACATTGCCTTTAAAAGCATGGTTGGTTAAGTTATTAATCATGGATGGAAAGACTCTACCTTTAGATCCTTGCTTAGATGTGGTCCTCATGGTTTCTCAACCTTGTTTATCTTAATATAATTAATAATGCACTTTAATGATGGTTTTCTTCACTCATGCATGCCCCACCATGCATGAATCTTCACACAGACCCTTTTCCTTTCATATGGTGCTCATCCTTTCCCTTCCGCTAATCCTCATATGGGACTCCAGCTTCATCTCTCTCTCTCTCTCTCTTGCTGCCCCCACCATGCTTGCTAGAAATGGTAAAAATGGTGACCGAAATTAATCAGCAAGTCTAAAGGTGGCCAATTGAATTGCTTTATATCATATCTTAGATCTGATTTCCTTTATCCGACATGGATATTTTATAACTTGCTTCCAAGTCCAACAAACTCAGTTGCAAATAAGACCGGAAACAAACAGACATTTAATTTTAATGTAGACATATCATGGCTAAGCTGATCGAGGCCGTACCACACATGAAGTGAAACCTTATCTCTTCAAACCAGCGAACCAATGCTGGAAAGAGAACGAAATTATCTCATTCTGCAGGATTCTGTGTGATATGTTTAGGGCTTTATTCATCTCTACGGGCATAAAGACGAAGGGGCATGTGCGTTTTTCAATCCATGTTTTGGAGCTTCAGAAAGTGATTGGAAAGGAACCTTAGCACCATCCATGTAGGCCCATACGCATTGCAATTTTCATAGAACAAGGAAACAAGCCACCCTAGCGTACTAATTGGCTTGATAGATATATAGCTGCATGTATATTGCAATCATTCTTTCCAACATGGAATTGATTGTGAATGTGAAATTTGCAATTCCAAGACAAAGATATCTACATCATGGTTTCTATTTGAGTTAGGCTTACATAATGAAATCACCGGCTTAGGCTTTTATAGGTTTTTGAGAGTGAGACTCTTCCTGGAGGCCCACGAACTAGCCCAATGAAAGATAAATGGCTGAAAAGTGAATACCTCTTGGGCATCTCTAGGGGTACCAGCTCCTTGAACTCGGGCCCATCTAACTCTTTTTCTTTTTCTTTTTCTTTTTGCAACGCCAAGTTCCTTTATTTTCCTTTACTTGTGCATTTACTCTCCCTGCATTTGCCCCATCTAAGCTGTGTTTTTCTTTGCCAGATACAATGTCATTAATATATTAATAAAAATTTTCTCTCTCGCATTTGTGAGAGTGAAATAGCTCATGTTCTGGGCATGGAACTAAAACGTGTTACCACAATTATCGCCGATGCCCACATGTGAAAGTGCAGTAG